AGGTAAATGTCCCACGCTCACACGAGGGTTTGGACTATATCTTACTTATCTAAGTTATAAAAATTATTTAAATGGTCCCAAATAAAAACTGTTCTTTTATCATTCATATCTGATTTAATAAGAAGTATATTTTCAAGATCTGATTGATACTTATAACTACCTGATTTAAAATTATCTAAAACCTTCACCCAATCTTTATAGTCCAGATATTTACTACTAAATAATGGGAAATTGTCTAGATAGTTTTCTAATACTAAATTTCCTTTTAAACTAGTAGTTCTTAATCTATATTGTGGATGGGGTTTATCAGTTCTAGTCTCTTTTACTGAAGAAAGTAAAAATTCAGCTATAGATTCTAAGAATTCTCGATTACTTAAACCAATGTGATTATTTTGTCTTTGACTTAATTCAAATTTACATTCAATTTTAGGGGATTTAGAAACTGTAGTAGCTCGTACAGAAAAATGTCCATCAGCCTCGATAAAACCAGATAACCATGGATTAGAAATTAAAGGACTGTTATCTATAGGATTTTTAACCATATTAAGGTCTTCAAATCTTACATTTAACCAATCAATTAAATTATATAAAGCATAAATTTTAGGAGTTCTCATGTAACCATTTATTAAAAATGCTACTAAAAGTAATCCTTCATAATTATTAATAGTTAAAATATATGCATTAACCCCTTTTTTTCTAGAAAGTGAACCAAGTCCTAATCTTTGTTGAATAATTAAAGCTAATGGTAAATCTTTTAAATTAAAAACAATTTGTATTGAAGGATAATTAATTTTACCTTTAGGAGATCTTTCAGTAGTTGGAACAACAATCGTTCCATCACCCTCAATTAATCCTGCTAAATATGAACTAAATTTTAAATTAGATTTGTCATTATTTATTTTATTTCCATCAGTAAGAGAGAAAGATTTTAAGTCTTTAAGAGACTTAGTTTTTATTTGTGTAACAAGTAACATTTTATAACAGAAAAGCTCCGGCGTGTAGTCTCTGAGGATCCCTACAAGATTTAAATCTTGTAAGTTTCCTGCTGATTGTGTCATATATAAAAATGACGGTTCCCAGCATATAGCCGAATTTAAAGCTGGCACAAATTCACCAGCTAACACAGGTAATGAAAGTAATAATAATACAGCTGTAATTAATACTGCCCAAGCAAATAATGGTAATTTATGCATTGTTAAACCTGGAGCTCTCATGTTAATGATAGTAGTAATGAAGTTAGAAGCACCTAACATTGAACTAATCCCTGCAAGATGTAAACTGAAGATAGCTAAATCAACAGAACCACCAGAATGAGATTGTAAACTAGCTAAAGGAGGATAACAAAAATATATTAGGATACCTCACATATAAATAATATGCTATCGTATCACTCAACTGTTTTCACAGTTGTTTGGACTATACCTTCAACCTAAAATGAATAATAATTTATCTAAACAAAATCTTTTTTTTATTAAAAGAATGCTTAAGAGTAAAAGTATTATGATAAAATGCTAGACGGACCCGAGAAATAAATCTCATCCCCCCGTCCCAACCCTCAATAAAGAAGGTTCTTACCGACTAAGCATTTTGATTTGACCAACATGATTCTTTAGCTCTAACTGATCTTAATTTACGAATTTGCTCTCTAATTTTAGCAAGTTGTTCCAAATTACCCTTATCTTTATTAAATGATCTAGACCAAATTTTATATTCAACAGCTTTCATGCCTTTCATTGAATTATTAAAAAAATCTATAACATTTGATATAGCTCTTGAATTAGTAGTATCTAGACGATAATAATTATTTTTACTAATATAAACTACTTTAGTTGAAATACCCATTACATGTCTAATACCTTCTAATACTATTTGATCTAATTTTTGAGTAAGACCAAAAGCATGAACTATTCTAGTAGCTGATTTAGATACTAAATAAAAACTTCCTTCTGCTTCAATAAAACCTATTATCCATGCTTTTGAAACTACTTTTTTAGCTTCATTAGCATCTATTAAGGGTTTAGATACATTATCCCATGCAGGAGAAATATATGAATTAGAAGGTTTGGTTAATAATAAATTCTCTAATAAATTGGATTTTTCTAATTTAGTTAAATCTTTATTATCAAGAATTTTATATGCTTCTTTAAATATGTTATAATAAAAATATTTAGTAGTAAGCAAAGGGTATTTATCAAAAATAGGAAATATTATCTCATTGATAACTTTTAGGTCTCTAATTCTAAAATGTGCCATATCATTTTTTGACTCAACAAAAATAGAACCAGCACCTAATTCCTTTTTAATAAAATGTAAAGCTCGTAAATTATAAGTATTTTGTGAAATTTTAAAAGTTAGACTCCATTTATCACCTTGTCTTAATACAGAAAAAGAACCATCTCCGTCTGTAAATCCAACAAGCCATTGTTCAAACCAATCATTTGTAGGTTGTTTTACGTTAAGTCTCTGATGAGAAGAAACAAAATTTAAAGAAGAAAATGAATTTAAAGTTTTGTTAGCTTCCCAGGCGGATTGTCCCCATGTTGAAAACATTTTTACTGCTGAAGTATTGTTAATATTCAACGAGTAGTTTTCTCCGAGTAGAGGAGTTTTCTGCATCGAGTAAAATTTTATTGCCCGATCCTTACGAATCGGCGACAGCTTATCTTTTTTAACTGTCCAACCTGTACCCGCTCCATTCTCTACAAAACTACTAGCTAATAATAAAATTAACGATGGAGGTAATAACCAGAATGAGATGTTATTTAATCGAGGGAATGCCATATCTACAGCACCAATCATTACTGGTACTAAGAAATTACCAAAACCACCGATTAAAGCTGGCATTACCAAGAAGAAAATCATAATAAAAGCATGAGCAGTAACAATTACATTATATAATTGGTGGTCTCCTTGTAAATATTGTATTCCTGGCCCTGCTAATTCTAATCTAATTAACATAGAAAATGCAGTACCAATCATACCTGAGAATAATGCAAAAATTAAATATAGTGTACCTATATCTTTAGCATTTGTTGAAAAAAGCCATCGTACCATAATTTTTTTTTATATATAAAATCCTTTATTTATTAAATATTTAAATTAAAATTTTAAAGGGGCATTTAAAAGAAAGAGTATCTTAAAAGTCTATTTTTACTTATTTATTTATATGGACCAACTAAATAATAACCTTAAGACTTCCGGTACCACCGGAGGGGGGGGGCTCTATGCAATAAAAACAATAATTTGTAAAATAGACTTGAACAATTTAAGTTTAAATTGTCTTAAGCTAAATGACCCTAATAAAATAGAATAATATAATTAATGATTATATATAATATTATTAATGATTATATATAATATAATTAATAATTATATACAATCAACATAGATAATATGGTACCAATCATACCTGAGAATAATACAAAAAGTATAGAGTTTCTATATCTCTAGCATTTGTTGGACCCCCCCCCATATCGTAGTATAATTCTTTTTTGTGTATAAAGTAAAAAATAACACTTAAACTTATATTATAAAATTATATATAAGGGGGGGTTAAGTCTGGCTTTTAAGGTTATGATAATAATTAGAAGGGTGTGGATTTTTACAATTATAAGAATAAAAGTAAAAATCAAAAATGTAAAGGGGGGGAGGGTGAGGAAGAGTTAAGATTATATTTATATAAATTTAATTATACAGAGCTAATATCAGTTGGTTTAATTTGTATATACGAAAACCGCCATTTACCGTGTACTAACTTATGAGCTTTATACCTTTTGCAATATTATCACGGATAAAACCTGTAGCTACTTGAGCTTGTCTTAATGATAAATGTACTTTTATTAAAATAATTTTGTCAGCCTCGTACTGATAAACTAACTTTGTCAGCCTCGTACTGATAAACTAACTTAGGTTTAGGGGGGGGGGAGGGAGGGAGGGAATTGACCTTTTATAAAGGTCAGCATTTGGATATGTTTTTATAATCAACACACTAGAATATAATAAAGATACAAAGGATTAATAGGTGTATCTGGACTAACAAAAGCTAGATTAATAGACGATCCTGCCATAACAGAAGCAAAATAATTAAGATTAAAGAGCACAATCAATGATAATAAAAATCCATAATAGAGGATGGGATCTAAAAAACCCCTAATAGAGGATGGGCCTAAATTCATTATAGGGCAGAATCTAAAAAAAAAAAAGACTCTAGGGGGGGGGGGTGTTAATTCCGGCTATTTTTACAAAACTTATGAGTATAATAATAAGAACGCCATCATTAAAGCGAATAATCCGATTGCTTCCGTAAGTGCGAAACCTAAGATTGTATAAGAGAATAATTGAGCTTTGATAGAAGGGTTTCTAGCAGTAGAGTTTACTAACGCTGCGAATACAGTCCCGATCCCAACACCTGCTCCAGCTAATCCGATTGTAGCTAATCCTGCACCTATGTATTTTGCGCTTGCTAACATTTTTTATATTTTTATTATTTCATGTCAATTAAGGCATGAATTATATTAAACTATCTTTTAATCAATTCTTGTTATTTATATTCTTCCGGTCTTGGTCGGATTTACCCTCCCTACAAGCTTACGGGGCTATTAAAAACTTTATTTCTAATAGCCCCCCCCTCTTTAAAATAGCCCCCCCTACCTTTTTAAAATAGCCCCTGCCGAAACCTCACCAGGGGGGGGGTAAGATTAAATAAGAAGATTATCTTCTATAATGGGGTTGTAGTTTTATCGGTAAGCTGATTCTTAATAATATTAAGGCCAACGGGGAACAAAATTTTTTTATTATATAATGAGGATTATAGCTTAATTGGTTAAAGCGGGGTCTTGATAAGACCGATAGTAGCCCCCCCGGTTCAAGTCCTCTTGGTCCTATTTATAGAAAAGTTAGAAAAAGGGTACAAACTCCTTTAAATTTCTACATAACTATCTAAAACAGTTCTCTAATAATAAATAAATAAAATTCTCTTCTCTACGAGTAATTAAAAATGTGGCTTCATGGTCAAATGGTTACGACGCAACTCCTTCACAGTTGAATTACCGGTTCAATTCCGGTTGAAGTCAAAAAAATATTTTTGTCTACTTATTATATTTGAAAAAGATCAAATTAACATAAAATCTTCTTTTCACATTCTTCATCGATTTATAATGAATAGTTTAGACTTACTTTAAATTTAAATATTGTTAAGTGTGGGATCCTCTTTTAGAATATTTTTAAATATTATAAAGCATAATAAAGTATAAAAATCTTTAATCTTAAAAAATTCTTAGATTAAAGAATTTTATATTAACCCCCCCCTTTTTTCTGTAATAATCTACCTCTATCACGATAACAATATATTGAAGCTGTACTGCAATAATATTCTTTAGCAGCATTTAAACAACTATTAAAGGATTTATATAAACTTACTAAATTTTTCAACTTTTTGTCTCAATAGTATATGAATATACTTTTTACTTTATTTACTTTATGCCCCTCTATTTTTGCTATACCTTTATTAACAAGGGACTACACTCGAATGACCCCCCCCCTCACATCTCATATGTTTAAAGACCAATTACCTCAAAATAGATTATTTGGGTGAACACTCCCCGGCCGGCCCTAATTTATTAAAATTACTAGACCCCCCCTAGGCCATACAAAAAGTTATATTTTCCTGTGTGCAATAATAATAAATAAAGTAAATTAATTGAGAAGAGAGAGAATCGAACTCCCTATAACCTTTCGGTTGCTTAATTTACAGTCAAGTTGTCCGCCATAGACAATTCTCCTCTATTGTATATTTAAAATTTACTCTGCTTAATACTTTGTTAATTTATTGAATATAACACATATCCTGAGATAATAATATATATTATGTAGATTAGTGTAAGGGGTTAACGAGGGGGGGGGTGTTTAGAAATGTATTTTCTTTTCTAAACTGATTATAATTGATAATAGTATATTAATCCCTACTATTATTTAAGTTGTTTATCCTTAGAACATAAAAGCCACTCTTTTTGAAATAATCTACCGGTATCAATATATCTTGAAATTGTTATTAGGCTACAAGAGAAATGTTTTGCAGCTTTTGTATAAGATATAAATTCATGCTCAATAATTGTTAGGGTATTACTATAATACACAAATACTCTTTTACTGGTAAGATTATTGCTTCCTAATTTAGCAATACTCATTTTCGCTAAAGTAACAGCAGAATGAGAACGACCTTACATCCCTCGTGGATTTTTCTCACCTAAATTAATAAGACTCATTTTTGCTAATGAGTCTTCAGAGTGTTTATAACCTAATAAATTACCTGCTACTTTTAGTATATTATATTCAGGTTCTAATAAATCTAAATATTATTGTTCCCATTCTAAAATTAATTTACGTGCATTTTCTTTTGATAAATTACTAATATCTATATATTCCAAAATACTTAATCTAAAAACCGAATAACCGTGTTTTAATAAAGCTTTAGAAATATAAGAATGCTTCACCCTATATCACTTTCATGAGCAGGGCGGGTCTCTGGTGGGGGGGGGGGAGTAGTCTCCTTATGGGACCGACGGTAACAGGGGGGGGGGCTTGAAAATAGTAAAATAAAAGAAGGAATTATCAGAGGTATATTGAGTTGGGTGTTAGAATACGACGTTCGTTGTACCAAATAGTTCCCCTCTATTTTTCATAAATTTCTCTGAACTAACTTTTTTTTATTTGTTTCTTTGCCGGCCCAAATTTCGGATATTGATAAAATGAATTCTTTTTTTATAGATTTTACCTCCTTTAGCGTATTTTAGAATAGTTTTATGACAGCATCCAAAAAATTCACCTGCTTTATTAGCAGAAGGAAAACTATAAATTAATGTTATCCGTTGAGAATCATAAACATAAATAAAAGTACCTTTTAGTAAGGCTCATTTTTGTTTTAGTTTCAGTAGAAAAACATTTACCTATTTTGGCTTTACTCATTTTACCCTTAGTCTCAACAGAATGAGATTTACCCTTACGAGCTTCACTCATCTTTACTATCGCCTTCTTTGTATGACGATAGCCTAATGAATTACCAGCCACTTGAAGTATATTCATAGTAGGAACTATGACATCTATGTAAAATTGTTCTCGATTTATTATATCTTTTATTTCACAATATTCAAGGATAGTTAGACTAAAGTTAGAATAACCATTTTAACATAGATGAGTATATGATACTATTCCCTCGAGAAGGGCTAGAAATAAAACTATAATTATAATATAGTCTTAATCTTCTACTTAAATTATTAGAACTACCTATATAAGAATTTCTAGTTAATAAATTGATAAACACCAGCTTTATCTTTATTTTCTAGAATAATTCTTTCTTTATCAAGGTCAGCATTAAAATATGTTTTTATAGGTACTGTATTTAATTATAATATAGACATATTAAAAGCTTCAACAGTATCTAGGCAGACAGAAGGAAGAGACATGAAAAATTCTGCTATAATAGAAGTAAAACAAATAAAATTTAAGAAAACTATCCCAATTAATAAAACATCAAGTATTGCAAACATGTGAAAATTATTATTTCATGTTAATTAAGGCATGAATAATTAAACTAACTTTTATTCAATTGTTTTTATTAACATTCTTTCGGTCTTGGTCACATTTAATTAAATTAGGGATAGAATAATAATCAAAAATTCGTCTAGAAAGATTAACTGCACTACCAACATATTTTTTATTATCTTCTAAATGTGTTCATAAATAAATCCCTGTTTTATTTCTATTTTCTTTAAGAATTTGTAATTTATCAATATCTGCATTTGAATATATCATAAAAGGTACAATTATATAAAAGGTTATGTCTGCTGTAACTGCTGTAGATAACAAGATTGATTGTATAACTCCCCTGATAGTCCCATTACAACAAATAATAAAATACAGGGTAGAGTTATTAAAAGAGCTTGTGGGGTGTTATTCACTAAAGACATTCTAATAGAGAATAACAAAGGATATTTAGGTAAAATATATGTAGATAATACGTATAAAATTACGATAAATAATAAGAATGAATAAGATAACATATTCACAAAATAAAAAGGTAATAATTGAGGCATTTTTTTTTATAAATAAAAAGAATTAAAATTTAATCTTCTCGTAGTTCCCCTTCCCTTAAACCACGTATGTTAATAGAAAGAGAGAACAAACAGGAAGACAGCTGGTTAACCAAAATAAAAAATAAATTTTATCAAAACTGGGATAATTGTGGTAGATATCTTTAAAAGAATTCTTTAAACGTTTAGCAACAATTGTTCCGGCTGCGCACTTTTTTAGATAACAGACTTGAACCGGTGAAGAAATTCAAAATTAAAAATAATCTATTTCAAGATTACATATCAATACAGTTATTATATTTACGCTGGCAAATTCTTGATAGAAAAAATTAATATCTATATTAATATATTTTCTTAAACATTAAACAAATTTTAAGGTTTATTCTTTAGAAAAAATCTATTATTATAAAATTGTTATTAATACCAAGACCGGGATAATATAAATCCGACCAAGACCGAAAGAATATTAATGCACCCAAGACCGAAAGAATATTAATAAAAACAATTGATTAAAAGTTAGTTTAATATAATTCATGCCTTAATTGACATGAAATAATAAAAATAATAAAAATAATAAATGTTAGCCAATATTAAAAAGATAAGTGTAGGTTTTGTGTATAGATGTTATAGTACTAAAAGATTGACTAATACTCAAAGAAATTCTTTTTCTATATCTCCTGATTTACATAATATAATTATAGGCGGTACCTTAGGGGATTTAAATATTAATAAGCATGGCAATAATTCAAGATTACGATTTAAGCAAGGATTAGTTCATAAAGAATACATGAATCATTTATTCTTATTGTTTTCAAGTTATTCAAACATGAAAGAACTAAGATTCTATGAGAATTGTGATAAAAGAACTAATAATCTATATACTTCGATATCTTTTAATACTTATACTTTACCTTGTTTTAATTATTATTATGAGTTATTTTATGTGGATGGGGTTAAAATAATCCCATTAAATATAGGTGAACTATTAACACCTAGAGGTTTAGCGTATTGGGCTATGGATGATGGTGCTAAATTAAGCTCAGGTTTTACATTATGTACTGATAGTTATTCTTTAACTAAGGTAGAATTGTTAATTAAAACATTAAAGGGTAATTTTAATCTTGATTGTACTATTCAGAAATCTAAGGTTAATTACAGGATTTATATTTTAAATGAATCAATGAATAAATTTAAAGAATTAGTTAAACCTTATTTTCATGAATCAATGATATATAAATTAAACTAATAATTTAAATTATTATTGTTAATTTTCTTATTGTTTACTTGTTTGTAAACACCCCCCCCTCTCAGAGGGTCCAATGTAATTATTATAAGATTTATTTTATAAATATGTTTATTTATATATTGAGAAACGCAGAGACACAACTCTGATAAGATAAAAGCTTATCCCCCCCCCCTAATAAGTTGCATTTTCTATGCCCGTTAAATTCTTGCAAGACTCATTTTGCTTTAGTCTCAGCAGAATAAGTTTTAAATAGCCGTAAAGCCCCGGATAATTCTACTAAATTAAATTTGGTTTTGTAAACCAATAATTTTTTTGGTATATATAATAATAAAAAATAAATAGTATATATAATAATAATAAATAAATAGTATATATAATATTTTTTTTTTTCAATTGTTATAATAATATTATTTGCTTAAAATGCGCAGCCTAAGGGTGTTTATTTTAAATGTACAGCCTAAGGGGGGGGGGTGTTAAAAATAACATTGTTATTTAAAACCATTTTTATTTTTAACTAATGTAAGTTAATAGCATCGTTTAAATATGACGCTGTTAACATAGTGAATACATATGCTTGGATGAAAGCAATCGCCATCTCTAATCCAGTAAAAGCAATAATAAATGCGAACGGGGGTAACACTTATTAATAATAAGATCAAGAGGGTCTGGAGTTGGAGGACCTGTGGGGGGGGGGTGTTAGAAAATCCCTAAGTTAAACATAAAATATTACCAGGGTTAT